AGAAGCTGGAGCTGCCATTCCTTCCCGATCAGCTAGTTATATGGAATGATAGTAGACTGCATAAATGCAACATGAAGGTAAGTGAAACAAATTTATAGAACAAAACACCTGTATTTTACACAATCCTGGCCTACACAAGTGATTTAAAGGTACATGGGTTGCTTGAGCTCTCACTTGACCAAGCCAGAGACCAGGCTGGCCTGACATTCAAGAGGAAACAAAGATAATCCAGATCCAAGCCCAAGCATTATAGAGCTGTAAAGAAGCATGGCAACTCCCCGTGCTGCCAACTCTCACAATTCTATTGCATGTCTCATAATATTTGGTGTTTTTTCACAAACTCTCAGCTCCTGGAGTCATGTTTTCATTAAAAACAGAAGTTTCTAATCCTCATGTTTGCTGAGGAAAATCTAAAAATATGAACTTGAAAGGCTCAAAAAACGAAACACAAATAGAAAGAACACATTAATTATTTTTTAAAATATCAAGATTTTTAAGTCTAATCTTATGATTTTGGGGAGATGACAGCTCTAGCACTGGAGTAATCTCATACACAGCACTGGCATGGGAGACAGGACAAGAACCTGGTGGTCTTTTTTCTTAAAGCTAATAAAGTTGAGGATTTTGTTTTGAAGGGGTTTTACTCAGTCCCACTTCTCCCCTGATTCCTAGAGACTGGTGCAGGGCCCACCACTACAAAAAACAGACTCCTTTCCCTTCTCATTACTCCCATTGCCATCGATTTGGTGAAGTCGTGGGAGGAACATTTTAATTCTGATTGGCCCCTTCCCTTACATCTGTTTCAGGAAGCAGCCCCTTCAAGAGTCCTCCCAGGTGTATAGACATCAGGCAGGCAGGCGAGAACTAATCCGTTTTATCTCATCACATCATCATTCCTACAGTTAGTCAGCATGACGTTTGTGACTCTCCCTACCCTAACCCAGAAAGAAAGTCAGACTTAGGTGATTGCATACAGATGAAATGGGCTTTACTTGATTGGTCCTGCCTATCTGAAAGTGAGTCTCTCCCTCCACCTCATGACAGCAATATTCCAGTGAAACCATTGACCAAGAGGCTAACTTGGTTCCTCCCCCTGAAGTTAAAGCATCTATATATAGGCTTATGAAACTTAGGAGGGGGAATTACAATAAAAAAGCTACCTATAAAGGTTTACATATCATACATAATTTTATACTTGGTTATACCGAGATTGACATGAACACAAGGTGTAAAATAAATCAAACTTGAGAACAGTTAAACTTCTAGTGTGCTGATACCACTGCTCAATATACTGACCAATGTTGTCTCACTGTTTCCTGGTACTGCCCCATCTGTCTATACCCAACTGTTGTCTCTTGTCTTATACTTGGACTGTAAGCTCTTTGTACAGCACCTTCTACTATGGAGTCCTGGTCCATGCTGGGGCTCATAGGCACTACGATCATACAAATAATAATTAATAATAAAATTCAAACGAGAGTGTTTTAGGAATGGGATATTAGCAGTTTTTGACACAAGTCTGCTGTGTTTGCTTGCCCAAAACACACCTCATAAGCCACTGAAGTGCACAAGGCAAGCAAAACCAGGCTTTGTGCAACACCACAAGAACAAATCTATTTTCAGAGGTTGGTGTTGCTAGGTCTACGGAAATATGGGAACCTACTCATTCATGACTTGTGAAATTCTGAGGCTGCGGAGTCCAGTCCACTGGCATGTTGTGCCCACGTACAGCAGAGTTCAGACTCTCACAACAGCTACATCCTTTCTCACCCCCAGTCAGCTGCCTCTCAGCTATGTTGCTGGGAACAGAGGGGACATCCACATCACCTTTAAGTGGTTAAATACATAAATATATTTTTATGAGATGAAATTGTGCTGGTTGTATTTTTATAAACCTCAAAAATGATGCAACACCCTGTGTTTTATTAAGCCCAGCAGCGACCCAGCAGATTTTTACACATTTATTTGTAATGCCCATCTTCTGCTATAACTTCCATACTGAGAGGTGTTTATTTCTGCCTACCTACAGATCAGTTCTGTTATTGTTAATTGTCTTTCTACCATAAGTATATTCCCTTCTTCTTTGCTGGATTTTCCAATACAACCTCCCAATATTTCTAGTATCTGTGATGTCAAGAAGTGTTCCAACACATACAGAATGTTTGGGCAGGGGCACATCTTGTATACATAAAAGCATGATTATTAACTATGCATCTTTTCTCTGCAAGTCCCCATTCTTCATCTGGAGTTCTTGAAAATCATTGGGGTTCATAGCTAACTGAAAATAACAGTGAGATTTTAATTATTTTTCCTTTCTAATTCCCCTCCCCCGTGACACCCTGTACCTCAAGGTAGCCCCCTGTAGCCCCCATATCCATCATTCATAAATGGTTGTGATATTTCATATAAAGCATGCCATGTAAGACATCATATGAAAGGTGATGATCTGCTGAAACCCACTGTTCTGTCAAAATCTGTATAGCGTTAGCATGTACAAAGTTATGAGATTTTGCTATATACAGGTAGTTGTTATTGAAATATGTTGTAAGGTTGGGAGTCGTCCACTGTTAGTTCTCCAGTGACAACAAAGGAGGTGACTGACACAGGTGGGCGTTGAAAGATCATCATGACCGTTAATCAGCAGGGGAGTTGTAAACAAGAGATTTGTAATTCTGTAAGAGAGTTGCGCAAGCGCAAGCATCACACAACGGGGCACTGCTCAACTCTGTGTCTCAGCAAAGCCCACCAGGACACGTCTGGGCTAATATTTTCCATTTTCCAGGCACATGGACTGAGGGTATAAAACAAGGGACAGTGGCATCATGCAGCTACCTGTCTCCTCCCCGACCTACGCTGGAAGCAACAACAACACTGGGAGAAAAAAGACTTGAACTGAGGAGACTGGTCCCAGGCTTAATGGGGAAGCCTGTGTACTAATAACTGTAACCTACCTGCAACATCCAGTGGGATTAAAAAAACTGCTTGATCTAAATAGTGCCTAGTCTAATAAGGTTTAAGATTTAGACTGTGTGCTTACCTTTTATTTTCTTTGGTAACTATCTCTGACCTTTTGTGCCTCCCACTTATAATCACTTAAAATCTATCTTTGAGTAGTTAATAAATCTGTTTTATATTTTCCGAAAACAGTGTGTTTTGGTTGAAGTGCTTGGGAAATATTTCAGCTCAGTTGACAAAGGCTAGTGTGTGTCCTCTCCACACAGAGGGAGGGGTGGACTGGGTAATAAATGTACACTGGTCAGGCTTCTGACCAGGGCAAGATGATTTATTCTGGGGATGCAATGCTGGGGACTTGGGAGATTTGCTGGTGCCTTTCTCTGTGTGATTCATGCGTGGCTCAGGGAGCACTGATGCAATTTAGCTGGGTGTGTGATTCCACATGCTGTTGTACTGAATGACAACAGCATCTGGAGGGGTTTGCTGCTTGTCACTAGCAAAGCATTGTGAGAGACAGCCCAGTCTGGGAAGTTAAGGGGGCACAATGGTACCCCAGTTCCAGATTGTACCCCGGAAACCCATCACATCTCCTCAAACCAAGTTAGTTTTACATCACAATAAAAAAATAAAGCAACATTAGAGGCTAAATATCCAAATGGTCCAAACAAACCAAATACAGCCTCATGGCTGCTACACTTCATCTTTAACTCACTTTGTTGTCCTTAGGAGTCTCAACACAGTGGATGGTAGATGGTGTTACATACCCTATGTGTTGCAGAGTGTTAACAGGTCATGTTAAGGCTATACTGTGAGCCTTTACCCTGCAGTTCCTTGTATTTTTTAGTTTGTGCCTCAACCTTAAAATTATTTTAATACATTTTTGTTTTTAACATATATTCACAGCGTATTTGTCTAAAAACCCTCTAGAGTTGCAAGTTACTCTCCCAAACAGTCCTCCAAAATCTTAAACCAGTGCCAAAGCCCATATTTTCTTAACTTAAAGAAATAATTTCAGGGCTGTCAACTGATAAATTTCATTCAGGAAAATGCTGTGTTCTTTATGCAACAAATTAATCTTCACTGAACTATGAATGGTAAACATAAATGTCTAAATGCACAGATTTTACCTGTGCCAGGAAAGAGGTTTAGAAGAATTATCCCCTTTTTAGGTAACCCAGCTTTTAAAATTACATCCTGGAATATGCAAACAAAGAAGACTAATGAACTCAGCAGCCCATATGTTTGGTGGAGGTTGCTGAAAAGTTATGGCATGTAATGGAAAGAGACTCATTTTTCAAATGCTGTTTGTAACTACCTGTGTGGAGGGAGAAGGGGGGAGAATCTTTCTTCCACCTTGGTTATAACAGTTCATTATAAAAACTCATTTCCTTTCTATTATCAGAGAACATTCTATAAAGGGTGTTTTCTATATCTCCTTGTAAGAATCATCCAAGCACCAGGGAGAGTTTCTCTCTCTCCTTCTAATCAAATATATTGTTTTACATGAAATGTTTGAGCATTGCTATTACCTACTATCCTACTCCTCCTGCATAGCCATCACAGCAGTGACTCTGACTGTCAACTTAGATAGCAGTTCACTCAGTAGAGCTTACCCAACATTTTTATTTAGCTTTCTGCTATTAAAAAGAACACAGCACACACAGGATGACATAAGAACAGCTTATGGTGCAAATGCAAGCATCCAAATACTGCAAGCAATAGATGCTTTAAAAACAGCAATTAATAAATTACTAATAAATAGTGTTCTCATTCCCAAGTTATGACTTTCTGCTGTGAGGTGAGTGTTCACACACCAATACCAATTGCCCTTTTCAAGCACATTACTAAATAAGAATCAACATGACATTCCCCAGTAACTATACACAAAATAACCACACTCCCAAAAACATCCTTAAACATCAGCAGTACTACTTATTAGCCAGAACACGTATCCTAGGTCTTGCTTATTGATGCAGTGCCCTCAAAGGGCAGCACACAGGCAAGGACACAAAGTAAATGTGATACCGAATTAGCTAATTACTTACCTTCAAGCTTCTTGTTTTAATTCTGTTTCCTCCCAGTCAGAACTTGGAGCAAGACTATTAGGACTTGCCAAGAGGAGATTAAACCTGACAGTGAAAAAAACCCCAAACTTTGTTTAAAGGCAAAAATCTGAAATAAAATTGCCTTCAGTTCAGCCAGTGATTTCTCTCTCTCTCTCCCCCTCTCTCCAGGGCTGCTACGTAGTGGTCTATAAATATTGGCCCCAACACTTGCTCAATGCTTTACTTGCTCATGGCACAGGTCTGTGTTACTGTACACCGTGGTATTACTCGGATGAAGTTCTCAGCTGCTCAGACAAAGCCATGGATTGGCTCTCTACCCTGCAACACTCTGTCTGCCTGGAAATACCATTTTGCTGCCAGCTTTACAGATGCTGTGAGCCTTTCCTGGAGGCCCAAATCAAGCACAGAAGGGTACTTATGAGCCTTGTCTGAAGAAATATAGCTTTCTGCAAGCAGGTGGAAAAAAGGGAGGGGAAAGTGGGAGGAACACGACCTTTGTTTTGGACAAACAGCATAATCTCAAACCCCCTTAACTGTGCTTTATAACTAAATATTACTCAGCTAGGCTCATAACATTACTGCATAATGAGGATGTCAAAAATTTCTGGAAAAGCATTTTCTTTAAAACTAACTTCTTGAATAAAAATAATGTGTTTTTCATAGACTTAAAAGTGTGCAGACGTTTCATAATTGGCAGTAAAGCACCAAAAGAACACTGAGTATATTTTCAGTGTGATGGAAATAAACATCTTATGAAAATATTTGCCAACCCAGGTCAGATGCTTGGTACCCAAGATTCAGAGTGATGTTAATATACAGCATGAATGAATTAACAAAAGATACCAACAAAGATATCAACCCAAGAGCTTGGTGAAGAATGGCACTTTCATTCCAAGGAAGATTTCAAAATCTGGTTTCATTCTAAATTCTCTGTGAAATGCATTCACCTCTCTCCACCCAACTCTACTGGAAGCCTCAGCCTTCCAGGCAGACTGCCCTAGAGTGAGGGACCCTGGAAGCCCCGACTTCGAAGCAACCCATCTGGCAGGCTGTCCCAGAGTCAGGGAGACTGGATACCTGAGCAGGCAAGAAGCTGGGATCCTGGGAACCAGGATTCCCAGGGCTTCCAAGCTCCTGGTCCCCTGTCACCCACTAGGTGGGCTGCCAAGGAACTGAGTGGATGATCTGGCAAGAACCCACGCAGGTTTTGAAACCTAGTTTTTATTGAAATGTCATTGAAATCAACAAGGTTCTGCAGAACTTTTTGATTTTGATGGTCTGGAAAACAATTCCAATGAAAAAATGTTTTGACTACATGTTTCCGACCAGCTCTAGTATATACTTATGGGTATCATTTAAAAAAAAAAGTCTAGTCAACATCAATCATGCACATTGGTTTACTTTACTGCCATATTCTTTATGACTTCATACAAAACCACGATTCCTTTTGCACTGCTGTGCAGGGAGTGTGGAAAATTCATGGAGCCCCTTAAGGTTCAGCATGCACCATTTCCTGAGCACTGGAGATGAGCTATACTGCACACCCCAAAGTTCAAGGACCTAGAAGGCAGGGGACCGAGCTAGGAAACTACTGCCGCACACCTAGGAGGACGTGGAGGTGCTATGCCTTAAGGGCACAACAGCCTACTCTAGTACCTCGAGGCATTATGCCTGCCTTTACCACATGCAGATACGTTTCCAATCACTACAGGTTGGCTGCTACACATCTGACCTTGCACCCCAGTACACCTCCAGTGATATGAAGCCATAACTTGGGTTTTCAAATGGGAAATACCACAGTAAGTCTAAGTAGTATTTGTGGTAGTGATTGACTTGCATTATAAATATACTCCCCACTATGAATGGTCACCACTTTTCCATGACACACACATGTCTTTATTGAGACACCCCTCTTAACCTTTTTTATTAACACAAAAGTTTCAGCTAATGTCAATGGGAGTTTTAGGAAGTAAAACCTAATACAACAGGCCCAATCAGATTGGGCCCTCTAGGTAGTAATAGACTATAAATAATAATAGTCTGCAGGATTTTGGTTCACCTTGCAATCATGATGTTTGACATAACTTATGAGCATGGAGTTTTCATCAACCCACACCCTCACACCACATTCACTTTTCTTTTTTTAAGATGTAGCTCATAAGATTGATTTTTGTGTGTGCCTTCCTTCTTTTTACTACAGAGGCATGAAAAATTAGGCTTCTCATTAGTCATTTGCTGATATGGTACAGATACTGCTTCTGTTAGTTAGAAAACCTTGTTTTAGAAAGCGCTTCACTGATACCACCGCACCATTTTCCTTTTAAAAAAATGTGAATTGTGCTTCCATGAGTAATCACTAACCCTCGGTGAGCTGCCAGATGGAAGCTCTTCAAACTAATTTTCTTGTTATAAGTTTCTAAAAGTACTGCACAGAGCACAAATGCATTTAACTGAATGTGACAGTTTCATTACGTCATAGCATCAACCTTTAAGCAGCCACAAACAACTCCCTGGATAACCAGAAAAACAAACAATGGCTTAATAAAATCAAGCAAGCTACTTAACTCCTAAGCACAGCTTTCTGTGTAGTGTAAGACGGAAAACATATTCTTGAACATCTATAGCTTTAGGATCTTCTTGACCATCTATAGTTTTAGAATGATATATTTTGTTAGTGACTGACACAAGAGAAGCCAGCATTCACACAACATAAAACACCAAAGACATCCATGCTTCTCTACCATTGGAAACCAAAACGCAAAGCTATTAACCATTAACATGCCATTTAACAGATAAAACAGACATATGAACAAAAATTAAGCGCAGGAAACCATAAAAGTGATGGAAATAATTTGTGTTAGAAGCAGCTTAATTTTTAATAAAACATGTATTAGCACTTCCCATTCTGAAAGGTCCTAAAGCAGTTCACGAACTGCATAGAAGTTCACCCACTGCTGAAGGCCAGCTGCCAAGTAGACAACAAGGCTATAGAAATCTGCACAAGGACATAGAGAGTGTGATGTGTCAGGATGTGGTGTGGCCTTAGGTGTCATTTTAGCCCAGGGTACTGGGGCAAACTCCTAATTCTTTTACTAAAATGCGGTGGGATCTTTGAAATCCATGCAGACATACAAAACCTCTGTAAGGTCCCATTAGTGCTTAGAAGGCACTGACTGATTAGTCTTCGCTTCCAAGTACAGTTCATTCAACTGCCAAGAATAAAGGCTTGCCCAAGCCATGGTCCATTCCCAACCAGTAAGTGGAGGAGTTGATCACTGATCTTGAGAAGCAAGGTTTTATTTACTTAATCCCCAATCCAGCACTCAAGCAGCTGGTTATCCTGATCCTTGTCAGAGAATTATGGCGCAGAAAATCTGAGCACCATGCCCCACAGTGGAATGAGTTGTTGTTATTCTTCCACTCTTGCAAGGTATCATGGCTGCCTTTTCTTATTTAACTAAAGCAGAAACAAATCCTCTACTGGCTTTTCTGTTAGCCACAGTTGCTGCTGTATTCAAATCTCATATCTGCGTGTACACAACATATAAATTGGGCACTCACTTGGGTACCACAGGAATGCTTCTTAGATCTACTGAACGCCTCCAACCAAATCTTTACTGACAGGAGAAGTTTGGGCCTGTTATAGGATAATAACGAGGGCAAGAGAACACACTGGAGGAAGCCTCAGTAAACTGACAGAGCTATGATTTGGATTCCTTCATACATCAACTGCCACTTACTCATGAAGTCATAACCACATCGCCGCACAGTGTTGAGCATGTGCACAAGTCATTGCCCAATCAGGGCCCATAATTTGTAAAAGTAGTGAGTGTAGTAATCAGTGCCGTTGAAAAAGAAAAGTGAAGATTGCATTATCACCTTTTACTTGCATTTCAGAAGCTCAAATAAGTCTTTGTGATTTAAAAATGTATTAATCTTTGGGATAATGCTACTATAGTTGAAGACCTCAAAATGTAATCATGTGACCCAGCACCAAAATTCTATCACTCTTAACAGTTGGACTGATTAGATTCACTTAAAAGGTGATCAATAGTTTCAGCACTTCAAGAAAGAAACTAATGAAAATGAAATAAATTAATAACTTAAAATCATATAGGATTGCACACAATGAGGACAGCATGTGGATATAAGAACATATGCAAAATTCTCAGTTATCCATTCCTTCTTCTAGGTCTGGCAGCCTTTTATGGGCTTTTACAATGTGGAAACCAGATTCTTTTTAAAATATATATATATTTTTAAATATACATCATGGTCCTTGTTGCTAGTGTTAAGTAACATTTTAAAATGAAAAACTAGTGGTATATAGTCTTCAGCTTATTTGGAAGGGAAAAAGAAGAGGAATGATTTGTATAATTAAGAAAAGCAATACAAGGAAAAATAGTTTCCAGAAATACTATAAAACTAGAAGACTGTAACAGAGAATAAGAACAGGATTTAGCCAACAAGCCTGGGTTTGGCAAATGAAAACTAGTTAACATGTTGAAAAATTTCAAATATTCTATATATTTTTGAAACATCTTATTCCATTTTCATTTATTACCTTTGTTAGGATACTGTAAATCCATGCTAAAAATTCTAATATATTGAAAAAAAGTTCAGAATTTGGCAACAACAAAAGCACCCATAATATCTCTTGGAAACTGTCTTTACAAACTCTACTTCCATAGGGAAATTAAATTGCCCCTAAGTTAAATACCCCTTTATATATGTGCATCTGCCTTTCAGAGTGCAAACTGTTAGCTGGGTCTTCTCATTCTCTGTAATGAAGTAAGAAAGTTCAGACTACAATTTTAGCTGTGTTTAATGAAGAGTCCCAAAAAAGATTCTTCTCAAATAGAAAGAATATTCTAATAGAGATTATGGGCCTAATCCTCCAATATACTTGGAACTCATTTGGAGATATCGAATTTATAGATAGCTACAGCCATGTGAAGAACTATTGTGCTACCTACCTTTCAATATCTCATTGTAATATGATAATTTAACAAATACAAGTTGATCTTGTTTGAGTTACACCTTGAATTCATTTCTGTTCCCTG